CCCCCCCCCCCCGCAGGAAAATTCTGTATCTTCTATTTCAGACGCTCCTGAACTGGAATATGAAGGTCAGCAAATTTTTTATGTAAAGGGCCAGGTAGTAATCATTTGAGGCTTTGTAGGCAAAAGATCTCTGTACCAACTACTTGTAGCCTAAAAGCAGTCATAAAAAATACTTGAAGAAATAAGCATGGCTATATTCCAGTAAAACTTTATGTATAAAAATAGGCAGCTGGGAGGATTTGGCCTGTAGTTTGCCAACTCTGGGTCTAGACTCATATTTCCCGCATATCCCAAAGATATCCAAAGTCCAAATGTTCACCCTGTCCACCTAGAGATGATTCTCCCCCTATATTCCTATGTTCAGTATGGAAACCTCAAAATCGTCAAAACCACTTGCCTTTAATAACATAGCAAATTGGTCCCCAAGTCTTGTTGCTACTGCCTCAGAAACGTCTATTGACATCCATTCCCATTTAGAGAATGCCCGCATTGCCTCCTAAATAATCTCCCTAAATTTAATCTCTTTCTAACTCCTAATCTTTCCTAGTATCGTGCTACTTTGAAGCTTAAAAATATTTGATGGCTTCCTGTGACACATTCCTTGGCCTAATATTAGAATCTCACTTTAGTCTACCTTTCTAATTTAACTCTCTTCATTCTCTTTTCTGTGCCATCATTTATGCACTGAAGGGACTGGCCATGCAGAGATACATTCATTTTGGGTTTTAATTTATTTTTTATTTGAAAAAAATCAGAAATTCATTATTATATGGGAATTATGTTTTGTCCTATGAACTACATTGAAATAGGTAACATTTCTTCTCTAAGGGTCTTGTGTCAGAGAGAAAAAAATAATGTATCAGGCATCAAAATATTACTTAAGAATGTGGTTAAATCCCAGAGTTTTAAATCCCACTGTTTTAGCTCTCTTTTTATTATTTTATTTTATTTTATTTTTTGAGACTAATAAACTTTATAAAGTAAAGGTCCTCAGAGAGTAATTTCCAAAGTTTGACATTTGGATGATTTCTGTTTCTGGCACATACAGAAAAGAGGCTCAATTTATCCTCCCAAGTGGGGAAAAAATAAATAAAAGAAAATATTTAACCAACAGTTCAGAGGACATTGGCCATCAGAGAGTGAATGACAGTGGTCTCTGAGAAATGGGAAACAAATTGAGCTCTACCGTTCTCTCAGCTTAGTGCCTACTGATAGTTTCTATGGAATGACACAGGAATGTGGAACACAGGAGATTACATAGGTTGAAGAGATGGATATTATTGAGTCCAGAGAAACCACAGCAACAAGAATTTACAAACAAAGTAACCAAGAACAGAGAACTGTAGAGAGCAAGAATTCCACAGGAATGCATGACCAATAATATAGAGAATAATGAACAAACTAATCCAATTTCAATATCCCTCTTCAAATATCTCTCTTTTTAAAATGTTATTTTTTTTCCATTTCAGTTTGTGTATTTTAAATTATTAGTCTTAAATGGAAAGGGTTCATGTTTTGGCTTGTTCAACAGTGACTTCTGTAGAAAGATCATTCAGAAGATAACATAGAAATTGGAATGGCAAGGAGAGAGCAGAGATACTGGAGTCAGGGAGACCCATTAGGGGGATGTCACAGTAATTCAATATGTAAACTAAGGCAGTGGATGTCAGAATGGAGAGAAGAGTGTAGAGAGCTCTTTGGTTGATAGAATTCATAGGAATGTTAGGGGCAGGGATGAGAAAATTAGGGCAATTCCCAGATTTCTGATACAGGGAACTAAATAGATAGTGATGCTGTAGACTTAAATGGAGAATGAAAGAGAAGCTGTTTGGGAGGGAGTTCACCTGTACACATATTGATATTGAGATAGCTGTGGGACATCCTAGTAGAGATACCCCACAGGCAGTTAGATATGAGTCTAGTACTAAGGAAAGACATCAGGGCTGGAGATACAGTATCGAAAAATGGAAGTTGGGTTCCAAGTAGTGGTTGAAATAATTGAGGGGGAAGATACAGAGCAAGAACAGGGTGCTGAGGACAGTTCTCTTCTTACCACTCTCCACTCTCAGTGATGGTTTTATAGCAGCTGACCTGCTTACTCCTTGGCCACCTCTGCTTCTGGCCTCAGAACATTTTTTTTTACCCTTTTTTATTCTTTCCATAACACTGTAAACATGGACTTCAGCTTGTGATCACTTGTATCTGTATGCTACTGTTCTTCCATTTCTGCTTATAAATACTTTTGGAAGATTAAAATAAGTCATTTTTTTAAGTTTTTACTTAAATTCCAGTTAGTGAACATACAGTGTAATATTAGTTTCAGGTGTACAATAGAGTGATTCAACACTTCCATACATCACCCAGTGCTCATCACAACTGCACTCCTTAATCTCCATCACCTATTTCACCTGTCCCCCAAACTGCCTCTTCTCTGGTAACCATCAGTTTGTTCTCTATAGTTAAGAGTCTATTTCTTGGTTTGTCTCTCTCTCTTCCCCACCCCATGATTGTTTGTTTTGTTTCTTAAATTCCACATATGAGTGAAATTATAAGGTATTTGTCTTTCTCTGACTGACTTACTTCGCTTAGCTAATACTTTCTAGCTCTATCCATGGTGCTGCAAATGGCAAGATTTCATTCTTTTTTATGGCTGAGTAATATTTGATTGTGTGTGTGTGTGTGTGTGTGTGTGTGTGTGTGTGTATCACATTATTTACCCATTCATCAGTCTGTGGACATTTGGGTTATTTCCATAATTTGGCTATTGTAGATAATGCTGCTATAAACATCAGGGTGCTTGTATCCCTTTGAATTAGTATTTTTGAATTCTTTGGGTAAATAACTAGTAGTACAATTGCTAGAGCATAGGGTAGTTCTATTTTTAAATATAAGTAGTTCTATTTAGGTAGTTCTATTATAAATTTAAATAGAGGAGGAACCTCCATACTGTTTTCCAGACTGGCTGCACCAATTTGCATTCCCACCAGTAGTGCTAGAGGGTTCCTTTTTCTCCACATCCTTTTGTTTCTTGTGTTGTTGATTTCAGCCATTCTGATAGGTGTGAGATGGTATCTCATTGTAGTTTTGATTTGCAGTTCCCTGATGATCAGTGATGTCTACTGCTCATTTTTTAAATTGGATTACTCATTTTTTGGGTGTTGAGTTTGATAAGTTCTTTATAGAATTTGGATACTAATCCTTTCTCAGATATGTCATTCGCAAATATTTTCTCCCATTCCAAATGTTGTCTTTTAGTTTTGTTGGTTGTTTCCTTTGCTGTGCAGAAGATTTTTATTTCGATGCAGCCTCAATAGTTCAATTTTTGCTTTTGTTTCCCTTGCCTCAGGAGACATATGTAGAAAGAAATTGGTATGGCCAATGTCAAAGTGGTTATTGCCTGTGTTCTACTCTAGGATTTTAATGGTTTCCTGTTTCACATTTAGTCTTTAATCCTTTTTGAATTTATTTTTACATCTGGTGTAAGAAAGTGGTCCAGTTTCATTCTTTTGCATGTTTCTGTCCAGTTTTCCCAACACCATTTGTGGAAGAGACTCTCTTTTTCCAACTGAATGTTCTTTACTGCTTTGTTGAAGATTGACTGTATAGTTGTGGGTTCATTTCTGGGTTTTCTCTTCTGTTCTATTGATCTATGTGTCTATTTTGTGCCAGTACCATACTGTTTTCATCAATACAGCTTTGTAACATAACTTGAAGCCTGGGATTGCAATCCTCCAGCTTTGCTTTTCTTTTTCAAGGTCGCCTTGGCTATTCAGGGTCTTCTGTGGTTCCATACAAATTTTAGGATTGTTCTAGCTCTGTGAAAAATGCTGATGGTATTTTGACAGTGATTGTAGATTGCTTTGGGTAGTATAGACATTTTAACAATGTTCGTTCTCCAATCCATGAGCATGGAATGTCTTTCCATTTCATTGTGTCATCTCCAATTTCTTTCATCAGCGTTTTATAGTTTTTAGAGTACCAGTCTTTCACCTCTCTGGTTAAGTTTATTCTTAGGTATCTTGTGGTTTTTGGTGCAATTGTAAATAGGATTGATTCCTTAATTTCTCTTTCTGCTGCTTCATTATTGGTCTATAGAGGTGCAACCAATTTCTGTATGTTGATTTTATATCCTGTAACTTTACTGAATTGCATCAGTTCTAGCAAATTTTTGTAAGAGTCTTTCAGGTTTTCATATAGAGTATCATGCCATC